GTGCTTGTGCTCTCTCTCTCTCTCTCTCCCTCTCTGTCAAATAAATAAATAAATAAATAAATAAATAAATAATCTTTAAAAAAAAGAAAGAAACTGGCAGAGACTGTTCGATACGGCTTGGCCAATAGCAGTGACTGTTGCAGGGTTGTGCAGCAACAAGTTCAAAGTATTTGTAGACCAGTGCCCACCAGAGGAGGGTAGAGGGGCAGGAAGGAAAGCAGCGAGAAAACTAGGTAAGGTGAGGCAGGCTGACTTGCTGACTTTTGAATACACCACCTGTGACCAGAGCCTTTGGCTGTTTTAGCAAGTGGCCTCGCAGCCTGGGAATGTGCCTGGCGGGGCAAAGAAGCTGTGATGCAGGGCAGGAGAGGTCAGTCTGCCTCAACTGGATGCTGGGGAGGGGGCGAAAACTAGACCAGGTCAGGGTTGGGGGAGCAGGAAGGGAGGTGAAGAACAGATGGGGGTAAGCAAGAAGGCTGGGACTCTGCAAAATTCGTTGCAATAATCATCTCAAAGCAGGAAGCAGAGCAGCAATAAAGGTAAAAGAATGTGGAAGATGTCAGGCCATAGATTCTGGGAGAGGAGAACTGTAAGTGGGACACGGAGTCTGCCGTGGAGGGAAAAAAAAAATGAACTAGTGTGCGAAAGTGCTCAACTTTTTACCTTCCTCCCTCTGACGTGACCTCTTTGGTTAAAAAAAAAAAGAATCCAAGGCAATATAGGTAGTTGTGGCCCCTAAAACTCTGCAGAGTCTGTGAGAAGCCTGCTGACTTCCTTTTAAGGCCAGTTCTGAAAAACATCCGAACGGAGGGAGATCAAGGCACCAAGATGGCGGCCTGAGATCTAGCAAAAGGATGCTGGGATCACATTCCAGAAAAGAACGGGAGAGAAGAAATGAAGTTTGAGGAACCTGGTGGGCATGGGATGGTGCACAGAGCTCACCCCCCCCAATGGAAGCGTGGAGTGAGGGGACAGAAAATGTTGCAGAAGAGGAAATGGGTCAGAAATATTTTTGGAAGGGAGGTGATTTTACCGAATTTAGACTCATTTCACTGAATTTAGACAACCAAATCAATCATCCCCTCATGCAAACCCCCTAGTCCCAGGGTCAAATTGTAATTGGCACTAACCACGACAATATCGTTCCCCTTTACTGGTGACTGCTCTCAGAATGTACACACAATGACCCAATTCTAGACAGTAAAAGGTAAGAAGTCTGCTGGGGGAGGGGGGTGTCTGGGAAAGATTTTTCTCCATACTGAAAGAGACGGATGTGTGAGGAGCTGCCCTCTCCCTTCCTGGTTTGGAAACTTTTACATGAGGATGTGATACTTGGAGCTGTAGCAGACACTTGGGGGTCATAAGGCCACAAACTTGAGGAAGGAAGCTAACAAGCTAAGGGAGCCAGAGGAGAAGGATAAAAAAGGCCTTGCTGAGCTAGGATCCTCACCTCCACACTCACTGTCAATAACTATAACTGACTCCCTATTAGCCAGAGAGTCTCTAACTTGTAGCAAATGCATCTTAACTGTAACAGATAAGCCTCTATCTAAGCATCCTATATCCGACTAGAATCCACTTGGTGACATCTTCTCATCTTCTAACTAATTTTATGAGCCTGGAATTTCTAAATTCTGACTATTTGCTTTGGAGGAACTATGAAATCCTAGTGTTTATCTT